TGGGGGGGGGGGGGGGAAATGGAAAATGACACTGCAGAAATAACTAAGTGGAGGTCAATTATTGATGGAATCTTCTTTGTGTGAGCAAATAATTAGGCATTTTGCCAGAGTACTTGACAGAGAAACATGTTGCATTAAATTGTTTCCTTCCAATATATGTAGTCAAATGCTACTGAAATATTTTCGAAAACAGTCTATCTATCTCTACGTAATAAGAGTAAGATCTACACACACTTCATATTCTCTGAACCTCACATATGAAATTCTACTGGATATGTTGCTATTACTGTTGTAAATGCTAGTGTAATAGTAGCACCAAAGGTTGAGATGGGTGGTAAATAACCCTTCATCTTTAATAGTTACTAGATCTCCTATGTTGAGCGTTTCTCGTCAGCAAACAAGATTTGCTGGCCTCGCGCTCCAAACTGACATCTGACATTCCCCTACAGGGTAGGTAGTCCTTAAGAACAAGAAAGCCGACTATAAATAGGCTATTACATAACCAACTTTTATTGTCAAGTCGGGGGAGTTTGGTTGGTACCAGACTCGAAAAGAGTTCTCTTCGAGTAAATGGTTTGTTCTATCTTTTTGCCTCGTTTAATGAGGGGAACACTTCACCTCGTTAGTCTAGTAGATGGGTTCATCAGAACCAAGTAATAAGTACAAGGAATAGATTTTGAACCCCAAAATTAAAATGGGTTGGGGTAGAATCCCCAAGTCGACCACACAATGTTCATATCCCACATCTGCCTCTGGCATTCAATAATAATACCTTAATGCTTTAATCAAGTGATAATTTCACCTTTCGACACACTGTCATCAGCCATACAACCAAAGGTTTAGGTTTCAGGAAAAGCAGAAGCTGATGACTACAAAAGATACTCAACACTTGTATTCTATTCCCCATTGTTTCTTTTTTTCGCTTTCTAGAAATATCATAAGAGAAGAAAGATTACTGAACTTCAAACATGAAGGCAAAACATCCAAACAATTGGACACCTTATTCCTGAACTGAACTCCTACTCTTTCTCATCTTTTATCTATATATCTCATGCTAGAAAAACAATGAACTGAAGAATCTAATTACTTTTGATGTCAAATTCAAAGACTGTGTTGGGAGGAATAAGGGGAAAAGGAATGCACAAGTTGAACTATGAAGCTCAAGCTTGTGTCATGGAATGTTAGGGGATTAAATGATGTGGGGAAAAGAAGGGTGGTGAGGAACTGTATAGACCAATGGAAGGCTAATATCGTATGCCTACAAGAAACAAAATTACAGGGGGATTTACAGGATATCGTTAAACAAATATGGGGAGGAAGATGGAACAGATTTGCATATCTTGAGGCAAGTGGAACAAGAGGGGGAATCATTATGTTATGGGATAGCAGGGTGTGGAAGGGAGAGATACTACAAGTTGGTGCTTATACTCTAACATGTAGTTTTGAGGCTTTACTTCAAAATTTCAACTGCCACATATCAGGGGTCTATGCACCAAATTGTAAGGTGGAAAGGAGGGAGGTGTGGAATGAATTAGGAGGGGTCAGAGGGATTAATGGAAGGGCCTTGGGCAATTGTGGAGATTTTAATGTGTGCAGGTTCTCCTCGGAGAAAAGAAACTGTCAAAGAAGATCTTCTGCCATGATTGAGTTCTCTGATACTATTGAGGACCTAGAGCTTATAGATTTGCTACTTGAAGGAGGTCAGTACACATGGTTCAAAGGGGATACACATACAACAACATCCAGAATAGACCGGATACTTTTCACGTTTGAATGGAGTGATCAATTTAACAAGATGAAGCAGACTACATTCCAAAGAATGACCTCAGATCATGTCCCAATAGCTCTATTTTGTGGACCTTGGGAACATAGTAAATCATAGTTCAAGTTTGAGAACTGGTGGCTGAACACAGAAGGTTTTAGTGAGAAAATCAGTAACTGGTGGAACTCTTTCTCCTTCTATGGGAGGCCAGACTACATCCTCGCATGTAAAATGAAAGCACGGAAAGAAAAGCTCAAAGAGTGGAGTAAAATTGAAAAAGGAAATCTGCAGATTCAAAAGGTCCAAAACTGCTTAACAAAATGGCAGATTTGGATTCTTAGCTGAACAAAAGAGCATTGACAGAGGAAGAGGCTACTTTGAAAGCAGAAATCTTTATGGAGTTCGAAGAACTGATCAAAAATGAGGAATGTGCTTGGAGACAAAGGTCTAGAATCTTGTGGTTGAAGGAAGGAGACAACAATACAAAATTCTTCCATAATCTGCAAATGCCCACAAAAGAAGCAACCATATTGACCAGTTGGAAGTAGAGGGAAAGATCATCACAGAACCAGACAGAGTAAGGGAGGAAATCATTCAGTTTTATGAGAAACTGTATTCTGAAACAGAAAAGATGGAGACCTGATGGAAATTTAGTGAATTGTCCTTCAATATCAGAGGAAGAAAGATCACAACTACAGGTCAAATTTTGAGAAGCAGGAAGTTTATAAATGCTTGAAGTTATGTGCCATTGATAAAGCCCCAGGACCTGATGGTTACACTATGGGTTTTTTCATCAAATGTTGGGAAATTCTTAAGCATGACGTCATGGCGGCCTTCCATAATTTCTATGAGCAGGAAATGTTTGAGAAGAGTTTCAATGCCACCTATATTGCCTTGATCCCAAAGAAGAAAGGAGCAAAGGAACTTAAAAACTTTAGACCAATAAGCTTGATAGGTAGTTTCTATAAGTTGTTGTCTAAATTCTTAACAGAAAGAATCAAAAGGGTGATGTACAAGCTGGTAGACTCCCAACAGATGGCTTTCATTAAAGGAAGACAAATCATGGATGCGGTGTTAATAGCAAATGAAGCAATAGACTCTAGAGTGGGTCAAAAGAAACCAGGCATCCTATGCAAACTGGACATTGAGAAAGCTTATGATCATGTTAACTGGGGGTTCCTTCTCAATATACTCAGGAAAATGGGATTT